ATAGGGACTAACTCAATTCACGACTGAATTTTTATCACAGAAGTGTGAAATCAAGTGTTTTCCATGGAAAAAAAGAAAGCAAGCCCCCAAATTTTGTTAGGGTTGGGGGAAAAAAGAAAACTTCCTGGTTCCAAGCAGAAAAGATGAGAAATCTTCCCACCCTAGAGCAAATTGCGGCAAGCCCTACCTGAGCCTTGGAACATGGGGTGGAGGCCTGAGGGCAACACAAGACTGCCAGGCTGCTGGGTACCAGCTGGCACTGCCTGCAGGACCCAGGCAGAGGTCATGCCCCTGCTGCAGAGGAAGGCAACCCACCCCAGTCTGTACCAATCTGAGCAAGGGAAAGCTCATTCCTGAACCCAATGCAGTGTCAGTCTGGCCCTGAGCCGGAAGGGCCATACTGTGTAGTCTGGACCCTCTGGGGCTGAGTCTTAGCAGAAGCATTGGCACATCCCCACCCAGTAGCTAACCAAACTCTTCTTAAACACCTCCAATGCTGGAGAGTTCACAACTTTTTTGGGTGGCTCTAACTGGGAGTTGGTAAGAGCAGCCTCCCAGGCATAGCTAGCTTTCTCCCTCTGCCCTTGGGAGAGAAAGAAAAAAAACCAACAACCCAGTAATACCAGCCTCCCAGGCACTGCTGGCCTTCTCCCCTGGCTCTTGGGGGAGAAGAAGAAAAAAATAAAATAAAAGCAGCAGCCTCCCCACCACATGCTTCTCCCCCAGCCCTTTGGAAAGAAAGAATAAAAAACAGCGGCATCCCAAACCTGCTCCCCACAGTCTGCCCTCCCCTCCCTGCTCCCCCCAGCCCCACGCACCATCCCCATCAGACCTGCAGGGCTGGAGTGGCTGGACGCAGCAAGAGTAGAATGGAGCCTGAGGACACGGTGATCCTGTGAAATTAAGCCCTGGGCTCCACAAATTAAGCCTGTCCCTATCAATTGCCCAACTCAGGAGCCCTGAGCTGGGTGATTGGGTCTCAGAAGGCTGCTGTGTTCCCCCCCAAACCCACGTGGCGAATGCTGCCCACCCACACACCCCTGCCCTGCCCCTCGCCAGCCCTGCCAGCCCCCTCTGCAGGCCTACCCCAGCCCGTCACCCACACCTCTGCCCTCCCAGCTCTCTCAGCAGCTGCCCCCCACAGCCCTGGCAGCAAGATCAACACCCTACCCACAGGGCCCCCTCCGGCCCTGCTGGTGCCTCTCATTCCTGACCTATCATCCCCTTTCCCCCCCCCAGCACTGCCAGAAGGGGGCCCAACCTGCCCCCCACCCCCTCGGGTTTAGGGTTTTGTGCCTTTTTTGCAAACAGCTTGTTGCAGGCTGGAACTCTGCCAGCATGTGGAGAGCTGCTTGCAAAAGAGGGAAATCCGCATTTTTCTCCTTTAAAGGGGAAAATCCGTGTTTTTCCACAGGAAATGGAAAACCTGGATCCCTGCTTATAAAGCACATTTCAATTGCCCTGTACTCCTCAAATTAACCCTATTTTGAGGAATGAAACTTACCCCAGTCCCAAATTTAGCTACAGCCCACACAAACTTAAAGTTCCCTCACTTTTATCATCAAAAATTATCAGAAATTAAGAATTTTGAAGCTGTAGAGTTATTTACTGAAAATATGAGCCTCTCAGTATTTTAAGTTTCCTGCATGACCTTTTCATGCTCGCTATTTCAGGACTTTTCTCCACACACTGTGTCCGTGATATGGACTTTGGCAGGCTGAGCGATAAGAGCTGCTTGAAAAGTGACGACATTCTCATTATTACCCTCTGTTGTTATACCTAATCTGTACCGTGTTATGCAAGAAGCACTTATTGTTTAAGCAGTTTATACATGCAGTGCTATCCAGGTCTACCCAAGAAAAGCAGAGATTCACAAATACACCAAAAACTTCACGACTTTCTTATAAAAGGAAACACATTAATTTTGCACATCCTGATGCCTTTTTTGCAAGATATTCATTACCCTCATGTCTCCAGTGATGTTTTTAATGGGATTTGAGGGAATCTGACACCTGGTCTAGTCCTAACAAACCAAGCAAGTAACACATACATGCTATTAGCAGTCCATAAAGAATCTGTGATTTAAAGAAAATAATAATGGAACACAACAGAACACTAATCCTCAAGTAGCAGAAAGAAGAAGCCTAATCCCCATGGTATTAGACAGTGTCCAAATCTTTAATATGAGTCAAGGACAAAGTGCATGTTCCATCAGCACTACCAACTGGAACTTGCAGTGACCTTGTTACAGAATCAACTGTTAAAAAAAGCCTCACCTAAAAAACAGTTCTTGCTGCAGGCAGGTCCTCAGCCAAGAGGCCTGGAAAGCAAAACCAGGACTCAAAAGCCAGTTGGCTTGGCTATAAACCTGCATACCTCTTACAGTGTAAAGTCTGCACATGTGCATACACACATAACCCATTATCATATGCCTACTAAGGCCAGTCCCTGACTTATGGTCCTACTGCAAAGCTTACTAATGCTATAAAGCTATCATCATTTAATCCTCAGGTATTTAAAATACTAGAATGTTGATAAAAGCAGCATTCATTTAAGGACAGTGATATCCTCACAGAGAGCATGTCTGAAGTTGCTGGAACCCCAAATATCTAATGGCTCATTCAGTTTCACTGCGCGGTCACTTATCGGTAAAAAGTTAATTTAATGCTTCGTAAATATAAGGCTTAAAACAAAAGTGCTTCTAATCAGATCTGGCACAAGATGGAGAAATGCACGGAGTGAGGTAAGTGTGATGTTGCCCAGCTGAAGAACAGGGGATGGCAGGGCTTCAGCACATGACTCACACAGACACTAAACAGCAGAGAGCTGGAGATAATTCTCAGGTAAACTTTGTGCGAGCCGCTACGTCATCCCCTCTGTAACCTTCCTGCATTAATCATGTCACTTGTAACCTGATGCAACCCAAGAAGAATGTCTGATTTACAAGGAGCAGGGCAAGGCTAACAGAACAAATGCTTTGGCATGTCAAGAAAGCTGAGAGAGGTAGTTAGTAGCCATGTTAGTCTGAAGTCAGGCAGAAGGCAGGGTAGAGATACACCTTGTAGACTAACTAAATAAGATTTTATATAGATAGTATAAGTTTTTGTGAGCTTGAGCTCACTTCATCAGTTGTTCTTGAAGGACACATATAGAGCTTGCTGTCACATAATTTTAATCTCATATACATGTTGCAATTGTATGTTCATCATAGTGCTGCTTCAGTAGTCTCACAAAATTTTAAACATGTTGGTCCCTTGTAAAAGCCTGCCTTTTAAATATGATGCAAGTTTCAAAACCAAGTTTGATCTGAGTGTTTGGCTACATGTTTAAATGGGTTCCTCTTTATCCAGCCCTATTTGCATATCCCTGTTATTTGTATTCTCCATAACCTGTTCATCAGCAATCCTTAACTTAGCAACCTCCTGGTGGAATAGAAGTTTTGTTTTCTCCTAGGTGTGTTAAATTGATTAAATGAAATTCAGGTTGATCTAGACTTTCTTAACCTCAAAATCACTTCTTCAGATGCTGCAAAAGGACAAGCATAGAGCAGTGTGTAAACTGGATTGAGTGATTTGAATACAAAAGGGATGGGAGGAGGGAGAGGAAGAAAGGAAGGAGATGGGGGCAGTGTTGGAAGAGGCATACAAGTGAAGAATCTGTAGGAACAAAAGTGTTACCAGAACTAATCCAGGTAATGGAATAAGAATTTGCAGTCTAGTTGAGGATGGTTCTGCTTTGAGCAGGGGGGTGGACTTGATGACCTCATGAGGTCCCTTCGAACCCTAATTTTGTATGATTCTAAGGAAGTGTCAGCAGTTTCTCAAAACTATGTATATTGATTTGGTAAAAATCTTTTGGGTGCAAAGAAGTACTGTTTGCATTGCAGTACAATGGTTCTTTTAGCTGTATCTTCTCACAGAAGAATGCAATGGTCATCTGGAAGAACTGAAGATAAAGTTTCATAGATCCTAAAGGAAGTTAAAGTGTATACATTTTGCTTTAAGACTGTGTGAAGTTATCCTGAAATATTATACTTAAGTTAAAAATCTATGAAGTTTTCACAGTAAGTAGGAGCATTGTTTACAAAATGTATTACAAACCATGCAGGGCCCTATCTACCACACTGAAGGTAATAGAAGTTGCGTCACTGACCACAGTTGGAGCAGGTTCAGACTAGCAGTATTTATAGACGTCCCTACTAAAAGAGCTTACTGGAGTTGAGTCTCTGTAGAAATATGTAAATGATCCCTTAACATGATTCAGTACTCCAGCGCTTGAACCCTATATTCCTCATAACTTAAGCATGATACTTGGCCCTTAATCTTTCTAAATCCACTACATTTTTCTCTCCTTTCCAGTTCACCAAAAATCTCCCTATTGCATGCATCTCTCATTACGTACAGTCCTATGAGATGCTCATTTCTCTCAGCTTTATGACTTTAAGTCACAGGTTGGTGGCTTTAGTTTTTATCTCAAAAGCATACTCTGATTTCCTTTCTAGACTGACCCTGCTCTCCTACTCTAGCCATCAATGTTCTCCTATCTTCCACGCCATGACCCCACTATCATATGGGCATTGCAAACTATCAATAATCATCTTTATTGTTTCTGTCGATTATTTAATTCATTTTGTAGCTGCTGCTTTTCCCTTGGCATTCCTTGCTCAATATTTATAAAAATAGGCCATACAAATAAACAAAGCCTATAATTTAAATATAATGTATTAGCTCACATATCAAGTTTTCTACAGGAAAGTATTAAATAGTGCAAGAATTAATTAAAATGAAAATATAAGCCATATTTTCCTTATATCAGTTTGGAAAGTGTCTCTAATACTATGTGTGTGCGTGTGCACATGCACACGCACACACACACACACACACACACACACACACACACACACACACACACACACACTATTTATTTTCATTAAAACTAAAACCAGGAATGTAGCTGGTTCACAGGCTTACACAAATGGACACCCTCCACTTCTATCTCACCAGTTTCAATCCAACACAGATGTAGCGACTGAAAACCATTTTCTCCTGGGAGCTGTTCAGCAACTTGTGAGAAGGAAAAAAAGGGAAAAAAAAGAGGTGATGAGCTAACTCGGAAAGGAGCAGACATCTGCCCCACAATTCTTCACCCTTCCTGGTGTTCTTGGCTTATTGAGCTAGAGACCGACTTACCCTCCAAAAAAAAGAGTTCAGACAAAGTGGGCCATCAGTATGCAGGAACCTTGCCTTGCCGGTGCCACATTTCAGCCATGTACTGAACACATCAGCACCCAGAGCTCTGAGCCTACCTACCTTTCACAGACAATACATTCCCTTGGATGTTTTAAAAATCTTTTAGAAGACTTTGAAACAAAATTAAACTTCCCATGAGAATGCCAAGAGCCTAATGGACACTTTCACACCAACTATGCACATGCATGAGTAGGCAGACAGTTCTGTGAGGAAACAGATTGTACTTCCATGCTATACAAAGGTTATAAACCATGAACAAAATTTATGATGCTTAACTTGACAGTGCTTTTAAAACAAGTACCTTCACTCTTGAAAGAATGTCTACCAAATACTGCACTTTGTACGTGCATGGCCTTGGTCTAAATAAAGTGTCATGTGTTTAAAACATTTATTAGAGAGCATCTCCTTGGTCCTCAATAATTAACACATCACATGCATGAGAAATTTAAGATGACCTTTGACCTGCCTGAGTAAGCTACCAGTCAATCAACACACACCTTCATATATTACTTGAAACTATTTTAAATATATTCCTTACCCAACTTCTACATATTGCAGGTAAGACTGACCTTTATTCACATGGACAGGGGTGAACAGAGTTTTCCCAGATTTACGGGGCCCCTGTAAAGGCTAATTATACATGAAATCCCACCCCATTGCTGTACACAGGAACTAGCACTTCCTTCCATGGTCATGCCTTATATGCATGTATACAGCTCTAGGTACACCAGGAATATATACAGAAGACAATGTAGTAGTAGTAATATGGAAGGGATTATTTAATGGGTGAGACATCAGGTATGAAATATCTAGATTCTTCAGAATCCTGAATTGAAACCTTAGGCTTCATTTAAATATTTTTTTCTGAAATAAAGAAATACAGCTTCATATAGTTTTCTGTATGTAGTTTGCTCCTTTAAAAGAGTCCTTTAAAAACATTTTAAGAGTATGTTACAATGAAGGGTCAGTATTATCATCCTCCATTCATACGTTAGAAAGTTGAGGCCCCAAGCCTGAAGTAACTCACAGTACATCCCTGAATAAGTTAGGGGCATAGCATACAAAGCAGGTCAACTGCCATCCCCCCAAAATGATGAAACCTAAGGAATTATGGAATTCAGTTAAAGTGATTGTGAAGCTAGAATAAGGAAGAAATGGTTTATAAAACTTTACAGTGTACACATCAGTTACAACCAATAAAACAGTCTAAAATACACAGCAAATGTGATGTTGGGAAGGAGCTTCAACATTGGGTTAAATCCACTTAGCATGGGGTGGGCAATTGTTTTGGTTGGAGAGCTGTTTAAGGAGTTTCGCCGTGCAGGGGACAAGGGATGGTTGCAAAGGAGCTGGTCCAGGGAAGGCAACATGTGCACGAGCAAGCCAATGAGCATGCCCCCTGAGCCAGTCAACCCCCCCCACCCCACCCCCAACAGTCTGAGAGCCCTGTGGGTCCTCCCTGCCATTGCCAACAGCATGCAGCCCCAGTTCCGACCCCAGCCCAGTCCATTACCTCTCTGGACTTGCCCCAACTGGAGAAGACCAGCCGGAACCAATGCACACAGTCCCAACCCCGGCCTGCCTGTGCCTACTCTGCACTGCCCGCCCACGTTGAGCAGCAGCAATAGCTAGGCAGAAGCTGCTGCTAGCACAGGCAAAAAGCAACCCCTTCTCCTTCACTGCTGCCAGGCTGTTCTTGTTGCAGCTACCCAGAGCCTGCGCCCAGCTGCCCTGCAGCTCCTTTCTGCCCCCATCACTGCCACCTCTGGGCCGCTCCGCCAGGCAGTAGTGATAGTGCAGAGCAGCCATAGGGCAGCCTGGGCACGGGTTCTGAGTGGCTGCATGAAGAACTACCCAGCAGCAATGATGGGGGGGAGGGGCACTTTTCCCCCATGCTGAGCAGCAGCTTCTGCCTGGCTGCTGCCACTTGCGCTGATCAGCATAGGCAGGCAGTGCAGAGCAGGCGCAGGGTGGACCAAGGATGGAGCTGTGACTGTGGGTCCCTGCCAGTAGCATGGAGCCACTGACACCTGGGCTGCCTAGAAAGTCCAGCTGTGAAGCTGCCTCAGCTCTGCTGTATGCCCAGAGGGCAGCCGGACATGCCACAGGCTGATGGCGCTTGGGCCCGGCAGGACTGAGTGACCTCCCATGGGCCAGACAAAGACCCTCCACACTCAAGGACCATATTTTGCTCATCCCCGACTAAGCAGAATGCCTAAAATCTCCTAAAAGCAAATTCAATTTCACTCCTTCAAGAAAATGCATAGATTGTTAACATCTTAAAAAAGGGCTGTAAATTCTATAAACCACCTCAAATACTCAACTTTTTTAGAAGACCTTGAGCAGATGGCATTTCAAATGTACTACACGCCAGGGGTAGGCAAAATACAGCCCATGGGGCCCATAAAAAAAATTGGAAAATTAATATTTCTCTGCCCTTGGTTCCTGTAAAAAATGGCAAGAACCAAGGGCAGTAGGACCCAGGGGAAGCCCAGTGGGCTCCAAGCACAGCCCCGCGGCCCAGCCCCACCCCGCCCCCCAGCCAGCCTCCATATCTGGGATGGGAGCACATAGCTGCCCCAGCAGCACGGGAAGCTCAGGTAAGTGGGGGGGGACCCCAGGCAAGGAAGGAGCGCGGGGCGGGGGGGAAATGGCCCCTCCCCACCCACGCCCAGTGCTCTGCGCTGCAGCTGCTTGCAGCCTGCGTGGGGCTGGTTGCGCCCGCTCCAGACAGCCCCATGCATGCTGCGAGCGCCTGCAGCATGGGGCACTGGGCGTGGGGCCACTTCCCCCCATGATCAGCTTTTCCCTAGGCTCCTTCCCTGCATGGAGAAAAGTGGCCCCTCGCCAGTGCCCCACACTGCAGGCACTCGCAGCCCACATGGGGCTGTCTGGAGCAGGCACAGGCAGCCCCAGGCAGATTGCGAGCGGCTGCAGCATGGGGCACCGGGTATGTGGCGGGGAGGGGCTGCTTTCTCCCCACTCCCACCCAGCACCACCTTGTAACCTGGCTCCACTGCAACGCCTGGGGCTGCCTGTGCCTGCTCCAGATAGCACCGTGCAGGCTGCGAGCGCCTGCAATGCGGGGCATCAGCCATGGGACAGGTGAGGGGCCACTTTTCCCCATGCTCAGCACCAGCTTCTTCCCTGCTGGCGAGCAGGAGGTTGGGGCTCTGCACTGCCCCCACCTGTACTGCGGGGCTGGGGGGCACTGGGAGTGAGCGGGCAAGGAGCCAGTGGGAGCACAGGGCCTGCCAGTGCTGGTGGGGCCCAGAGCAGGGTGGCAGGAGTGCAGAGTCCCAGTCAGCAAGGGCTCTATGGAGCTGGGCCAGCTCCCCCCTCCCTGCTGGTGCAGCCCAGCACAGCTCCATGGACCCCTGCCAGCCTGCACCCCGCTTTGGGCACCACAGGTGCTGGTCCTGGGACATTGGTCCCAAGACATTGGGACATTGGTCCCAAGATGGTGACCTGGGGGTGGGGCCCCTGTCAAGGGGCGGGGCACCTGTCAAGGGGCGGGGCTACCCATGAGGCCCTCGACAGCCTGCCAAAACTGGGTAAGCAACCCTCCACTCAAAATAATTGCCCGCCCCTGTACTACACCGTAAGGAACACAGAAATTTGTTGCTGCCCTTTTTTATTCACTGAACTAAAATCTCTGCTGTGCCTTTCACTGCAATCCTGTTATTGCTCTGCCATTATGAACTTCAAGTGTACAACATGGCTCAAAAATTCAATTTATCAAAAGCATGTTTGTTTTAAACGAAGAATAATATGTAAGACACTTGCTTTTTCTGTCAAATTCTTTTAAATAAAAAACCTCAGATATTCAGCTAAGAGCAATGGTACTCAACCCCTAGACCATGGGCCAGATCTAGCCTGCAGAGTTGTCATCTGACCCACGGGACTCCCCATAGAACTGGACATTTTAGGGTGGGGAAGCAGTAGCAGTGTTAATTGCCACTCCCTTACTGACAAGTTTCCAGACCCACAGAGTCCCACAAGCCAGCTAGCGTGCCTCTGCATGTTAGACAGTGCTGGTGTTCAATCAGGCCGGCATGTGATATCAGGTGAGCACAAAGGATTGCACCTGCAAAGGGACCCCATGTGCTGACTGCATGAGATCCACCCCATGAATTGACCCTGCACCACTCATCCAGCCTGTATAGCCAGAAGATTGGGCACCACTGGCTCAGAGCTCTCCAAAGATCTTCTCTGTTGCACACTCCTTCCACCTCAGTCTCATACTTAAATTGCCACCATGCTATTATACCCAATTAGGTCTCTGGTAGAATATCTGATTGGTTTGTACCTCTGTAAAAACAGATGAGTGTCATTTTATTACTGATGATTTCAGTCTCAACATATAATTTTCCTTCCAAGTCATCCAATATATACTTTGACTTTGAAAAATATTATTGAATAAAATACTAGCAGAAGGATGCCACGGGAACATATACACCGCACAAATGTGCTGTAGCATTCACACAGCTCTTTCGTGGAGATAGCTGAGGGTTTCTGTTTATTTAGTGATAATATTTTAGTATTTAAAATATATAACTTGTTTTGCATATATATCATAAGAGAGGGGGGAATTGTTCACAAATTTTCAAGAAAAATTGGATCTGAAGTTGCCTTTTAATCATGAGCAAAACATTAAGTATATAATATTAACAGCACAGATCCTTCCTTTCCTTCCTTTTTTGTGTCCATGTGACAAGGTATTTAGCAGAATTCACAGATTTGTTGGAATCTGACATGGCCACTCCACAAGCGTTTCTGCTGTTGCCTCAAACTTGCAACCTCAG